GCATTCTTGTCAGCTCCAGCCTCGAGCAACAACCGCACCACTTCCAAATGGCCTCGTTTTGCTGCAACAGACATAGGTAGGGGGTCAGTTTCTGCACCTCTTCCATTGGGATCGAATGGCTTCTGAAGCAAGCTTGTGACTTCAGCAACTTTATTTGTCTTACACGCATGGAGCAGTGCGTTCCAAACGGGCTGATCAGGCTCACAAAAGTTCAGGACTATCAACTGCAAACTTGGTACTTGTCTGACAGGCATATCATCCTGTAGCTCACCCACCTCTCCACTCAAGAGTCTTTGTCGAAATCTTGAGAACCCAACCCGGTCCGCCAGGAGTCTCTTTAGATCCCCAACAGAATGTCCATTCTCCACCATGTAGGCCAATTCCTCCTCATGAAGCTTTGTGAGAGTGGCACCTGAGAGTGTTGTGATCTCCATTGCTCCTGCCCCAGACTAGAGGAAATACTTCAAGAAAAAATGGCTTGAGCCAAAATGAATGGCTACGGAACCCAACCCTGCTTCTACAAATTACTGTTGCGTGTGTTGTTGTTTCTTGGGGGTGGGGTTTTGTTTTGGCACAACATTCGGCTCGCTGATAAGCTCTGTAAAAGTCAATCTCAACAAGGGCTGAATCCTCTGAATCCAGGATTGGTTCGGTCCACCTGGTTGATCGTCCTCACAAATCCGGATCCCAAGACTTATTTTATAAAAAAGGATGAATGAAACGAGAGTTCAGGTTTCAATACTGATGCATGCTGATGCCAGATTTGGGGTTCCGCATGCTTCCGCTATTTTCGTGCAGCGGCTTTCTCCCAGGAGCCCACACACCCATCCGTTTACTGCGCCAGGGAGCATTGGGCGAAATCATTGCCGCCATCTATATATTGTCCGATGCAGAAAATAAAAACAGGAAACTCCCTCGATGGTCCAGGTGATCCTGGAGCGAGAACTGAACGAGGCGGTGCTTCGAAGGGCGAGCCGTTGCATCATCAACCAGGGCGATTGCGAGGAATGATGGTTGAGAAGACCTGTCAATGAACAAAGTGCTATATGACTATTGAGCAACCAAGGTGCGATTCGGCAATGCATAGGAAACCGCGACGAACCATGTATTTTGGCAGGTTTCATCTCGGGCTGTTTTACTTGGACGCTGTCCCACTAGATCACTAGATGTTCTGATTGTCTGAAGTTGGACAACACTTCATGGTCATCCTCACTGCGAGCAAGGCATGCGGGCATATCAAGGCCAAAGCCGCACCCTTCGGGGGGCCCAATCTATGACCATTGGGAGGAGATCTTGGTGATCTCAAAGCGCAAAGAGAGTGTCCACGAAGCTTGCGTGGCTGTCCTTGTCTACCGTTTGACACCACTGACGGAAGCAACGAATCCAAAGACACTTCAGCGACCAAAGAAGACCATTAGAGAGGCCATTTCAAGAGAAGCAAAGAACAAGAACAAGCTTTAGAACAAGAACAAGAAAAAAGTAAGTAAGACCTTTCCGAAAAGAAACAAGAGCTCTATATAGAGACTAACACAGAAGATCCTTTCAAGTGTTTCGACCGATGGTCGTCTCAACCACCCCGAAGATTACATAGATTCACGCAGCTCTTGAGCTTGAGCCCCCTGAATCCCCGCTGCAGCTCTTGAGCTTGGAAGTTAACCCATATTCTTTCGATGGGAGCTGAATATAGCTGAACGAGATCAGGCTGTGTGGAGCATTCTATCCCCAAAAATGCCACCAAACACGCGCACCTGCAGTTCTGAACGTTCCAGCCAGTCTTTGGGGTCTGGCGTGCCCTAGTGAAACGAACACCAAAACTGATGGAACATCCTCGTTCTTCCATCCCGGCTTGTTCGCCTGCCTGGGAAAACACGTTGAAATTCGCTTCTTGGAGGGCACAGTGCCCAACTACTGTTGCCCTCCGGATCTGCTGAGCCCAAAACGAGGGGTCGGCGAGGAGTACCACCCGAAGATCCCAACCAAGCCCGCACACCGAATGGGCTATGACAAACATGTTGGGCTTCGGTTGTATTGACATAGGGGGACCCAGCAGCGCAAGGGTTCTATATGTCGATAATGATTATTCTCTGAAGAGCTGGAAGGTCCTCCCACCAAGAGAGGCACTCACTCTTGTGAGCATCACCACCTATACCGCTACTGTATACCTTTTTCGCTTCACCGACTTGGCTTCTCAGCGACTCCGCGCTCGAACGCTCCCATGACTTGCAGGAGACTAGGAGATTTGGAGAAAAAAAGGTGGATCTTTTGGAATCTTGGGTTGAAGGCATGTTGAAGTGCCATGTCGCCATGTCGAATGAATTTTCCGCCAAAGCCACTGAGCCTCTGCTCCCTCTTTGTTTATAACGCGATGGGTCAGCATTCACCTGGTCAGCATACTGTACAGTATGTGGTTCTTCGATTGGATACAGGTGCCGAACGGGACCGAACTACAGCATGCAGCACCTTGAAAGTGGGCTTCAAATCCTTCAAAGAAACAATGAGCATTTGAGCGTTGCGAGGTTGAAGCAAGGCTGGCCAAAGCTGGATTCTTCCTACAACTCCTAGGCGCTAGCCCAAGGTCCCACGCAGCATGGCTCCGGCAACCTTCCCCTTAGACACGAACCCATCTGGCTGATCTTAGCGCGGATGTCTTTGGCAGCCTGGGAGGGTGGCTCACAGCGCTCACAGCCAACTCGCAGTGACCGTGTGGGGATCAGCCCGGCAGCTAGGCTCGAACTTACTGGACCATCGGACGCTGTGCAAGTGGACCTTCCAGTCTGCTGTCACAAACTCAAGCAATCGATGGTGCACTGTGCTTGATGGTGCACCTGTCATTTGCTAGAATTCTCGAGGAGACAACGATATAATCGATTCCAAGGGATGCCAACGATCCCAGGTTTTTGCCCAGTTTCTCTTAGATCCTCCGAACCTCGTGGTGTTTCGATGCCCAAGTCCATTGAATGTCCATGAACATGGATCCACGATCTATAGTTTCATGATCACTCTAGCCATTGGGACCACTACATTTAAGAAAACATGGAGGTCTTTTGTAGAGGTGCTACACTTTGTGAAGCAATACTGGAAGTGAAAACTGAACGCTGGAACGACCACTTGGCTCTATATAAAGCAGGTGGTTTTCCACTTCCATCTTTGTTGGAGGGGGCAGCAGCTCAAATGGTCCAAACACCTTCTGAATACCTGGTAATCTTTATCGTTCAAGAAGATCTTCCATTTTGTCCCTCGCAGAAGCAGGAACACCTGAGCCATCCTGAGCCCTAAAATTGCAAAAAATAGGTGACCTGTAGCCAGGCATCCGATCTCAACTTGGCCATGCTGGGGGGATCTGTTGAGAGCCTCCTCCGAACACCGGGTCCTGGCGCCTCCCACAAATCAGCCGAGCTTGTGCGGTTGTCTGCGCAGGACGCTCACGGAAAAAATCCACCAGACGCTCAAACGCTGGACGAACGGATCAGCGAAGCCCCAGCAACTGGTGAAAGGATGTGAAAGGCAAGATCAACGTGTGAAAACAAAAGACGCATGGAACACGATGTGCCCCCCAAACCGATTGATGGTTCTTCTTTGTGGAGCCTGGATGGTCCTCCAGGTCTTCAGGGAGCCTGGCCAATCACTCATGATCCTCCCGTGGGCCCGCAGACTCGGCAACAAAGTTCACCAAGCACCCGACTGAACACATCGCTTGGGCACACCCAACAGCGATTCGTTTCTACACGTTTTTGCGAAAACCACGTCGTCACAAGTGTTTTTGTCAGGAATGAGTGTTGATCACCCTGTTGCACCCAAAGTTCAGGGTTGCTATATGATTTGCAATATGTGATGCAGGATATAACTATTAATGTTTACGCATTGCTTGGATTTTGTCCGTCCACCACATGGTGGCTCAAAATACATTATGTATTATTATATACAGTAAACTCAAAGTTTAGGCATCCTCTCCGGCAAACACAAAAGTGCAACATGGAAGAACATGGCCCATGGCCCCTAAAATTGATCTTGAAAACGGTGTTTCCTCTGCAAAAACCAGGGGCGGCCTTCAACTTCCTTTGTTGGAGAAAGTGTAATTTGGACCATCTATATATATATATATAATATACGGGATTGCCAAAACAATGTATTTCAAAGTGCAGGTCACAGTTTGTGTCCTTCTTCACCCGGAGAGGAGGAAAGACATGGAAACACCACCTTCTTTACCCGGAGTCCCATGTTTCCTTTACAAATGGGCTGTTCACATGGCAGCCATCCCATGGGATTCCTGAAGATTTGGAGCGGACGGTCGGCGCGTCGTTCTTCGGCGCCTTTCTTCGGGGCGCTTCTGCTGCGGCTACGTGGCCCTGGCGGGTGAGTCCGGGAAAAGGACGGTGGAGGTCGAAAAACCCAACGACATGGTGCCCAAAGTGCCCAAAGTGCCCAAACTGAGGTGGTGGGTTGCTTGGACACCTTGGGACTTGGCACCCCAAGGAAGTGGACGTTTGACACTTCACCTCTGGGGCCGGTGTTCTTTTACTTGGCGCAATGTATGCGAGTCGGTATAGCATGGTATAGCAGTGAGTCGAAGGATCGAATGCAATGACAGTGAGAAAACATGTTCTATACTCGATGTGCGCATTTCGCAGTGGCATGCAATTGAGGTTCAAAGACAGCACGAGTGAAGAGTTGAAGAGTCGATCTACGATATACTGCAAGGAGCAGATATACTGCAAAACATTTTTCGAGAAACAACCCAGATTTGCAGTGCAACAATAAAGCTACATTCCCCAAAGCTGCAAAACATGAACACTCAGACCGCACAAACATGGCTCATTTCCAGAAAGTACCCATCCAGAACACACACGCACATTGAATTATGCAAGTAGTGAAATGACGTGTGACGACGCGCACATAGATAAACAAATAGGACGTCCAATAAAACCCTCAAAATTCATCAGGATTCTATACATCCCCCCGCCCCGGTGCGTCCACCCCTCAGATTGCACTGCACTCATGTCGACATGTTTCGTTGCAAAGGGTGACGCCTGAGGCTGCACATGGCAGGCGACTTGCCTTGGACTTGCCTTCCCTTCCCAAGTTTCCTTTGCATTCATGGTTGACATAGAACCAGGCCAATGGAACCGGGAGGTAAGGGATGCATCCACATTCCATCAAGGGCATTCCAGCATTTCCAATCAAACATAGTGACAGCTTCGGCGCTGTCTTTTTGGGGTTGGTTTGGGGATCACAGTACTGGGCCGTGCCCTTTGCCTGTGCGAAGCTTCTTGCTAGCGCCAGCTCCCAAGCGCGAGCTGGTGCTCATGCGATTCAATGACCTTCATCCAACCTGAAGGCCTGCAAAGCTTAGCCTCCCGGAAACTAACATGGACCCTGATAATGGGCTCCTGGAAGATGGCTTCCCTAAGTCTTCTAAAGGGATAGCCTGTGCTAGATTTGCAGCACGAATCGACCCCTCAAATTGCGCACCTCGTGGCTTGTCTTTGGGCTTCTGTTGTGGAGGAGCATCCTCCTCCTCCGCCTGCCACGCTGGTCAACAGGTGGCATTGACCCTGCAAGCAATGATGAACCGGCTGTTGATGTAGGGAACCAATCGCCAGCTCAAGCTAAACCCCGGGACACTCTGAGCTGTGAGCTTTTATCAGACTTTATGAGTGATATTCCCCAACCCTCTGGCTGTCATGAAGTGTCCTCCACTCAAACGGTGTTTTGCGACATTGGGCTGGCTCATCTCGAGATGACCCAGGTCACCCACCAGGTCATTCCCCTGCATAAGAGGTCCCAAGTCGAATGGAATACTGTAAGTGAGAGGCACCTATGTAACTTGGGTATATCCCACCAGGGCCCAGTGGATCATGGTTAGGTTGCAGGCCGACATCTGAAAAAAACTGAAAAAATACAGTATGATAATTCCCGGATGTTACAGGTCATGGGACAAACCTGTAGCGTATAAGCCATCATGACCATACATGGTTTGTCCGAGAATCGTCAACAACATGTGGCCGCGGCCATGTATAGAGGGCTTGCATTGCACCGGCCGACCAAGGAAGCCCAACATCCCAGCTTTGGTCTGATCGAACACCATCGTACCTCCGCCATGGGGGGCCGCACACCGAGATCCAGCTGGTTTCGTTGATGCGGCTGTGCCCTCCATACGCCCAAGCTGGTCCCCCCTGCGCTCTCCTCTGAGCCAGAGCCACTTCCAGCTGCAGTGATCCGCTTCCGCTGCTTCCCCTGGAGCTGAAGCGAGCCCGACCGCAGGACGAAGGGCTTGGCAAAATCCGCTGTTGCAATCAGCAAATTCCAACGTCCTTTCAAGTCCCTGAAAGGGAAATGTATGGAAATCCATACTTGAACGTCACATGACATCACCTTGTCACTTCCCAACCCATGTATGAACTACTTCATGATAATTAGCAAACAACAAGTAGTCATCCATGGTTTTCTCAGGAACGCTGACCCACAAGTCATGTCTGGAGACTGGAAGAAGCCTGACCAATAGAATCAAAACAAAACAATGGGAGTAGCTAACTAACCCTCAAGCGCCTCAAGCCTCGGTCCCCCGCGGTGGACGGACGCCGCGCCTTCTCAATGTCCTCCATGCTGGGCTTGGGTGCATCGGCCAAGGGGTCGGCATCTAAGGCCACTGCCGAGACCGGCCCTGGCAATGGAACTGTGGGACAGGTGGGATTCTATAAAGGAACCTATTGGTTACCATCAGTCAGCAGCATTGGTTTTACATGGTTTTACAGTTTTGGTCATATAGGATTGGATCATAATAGTTGGCATTTTTTATGTATTGCAGGATGCAATTCCATCATTTTCCGGCATGAGGGCGCACTGGGGTGCTGTGGAATGTTTCGTCCATCTTGGGATTTCCTGAGCAGAGCTGAAGAATTGTGGCATCTTCCCTGATCTCTGAAACGCGACCCAAGTCATACCTACAAACTTCTCTGAGTATTACCATGACGCTCCTAAGGTGTGTCTATTTATAGCCCCGAAAAAGGAGGGTTCGCCCATGAGCCACACCCGACCGTGGGTCCGGGAGCCGGTCCCCGCGGCCTTTGGCGAGCTCCTTCTCCAAGCGTTTCTGCTTGGCCAAACGGTCCAGCCCCAGCTTGGACGCCTGGTGAGGATGGTCAGGGTGATGTCCCTTCAGGTTCGGTAGCGGAGGGTGAGCTTTGGACATCACCACCGTCCTCCAAAGGGCTGATTAAAGTGTGTTTCTAAATAAAAGCACTGGTATCCAGGCTCTACATATCAGTTTCCATCCCACCAGGGCAGGGAGTTCATTCGTTCATGTTGTGACTCACATTTCCAGAGATGGACACACAAGCACAACCCAAAGCAGCACCACCTATCAAATCCTCCACGGAATTAGGTTGCCCACGGGATGCGTTCCGGTTGCACGCCCTCTGCCCGGCCCTGCCCTCCCCCCCCCCCAAAAAAAAGGAACAAAACACACGTTAACAATAACATATAGAGACAGAAAAGCATGCACAATATGCCACCAAGCTACATCCAAGCATGCACATGCTCACTCACATGATGACACACAGATCCAAACCGATCCATGGCCCTTAAACAGAGCTTTACCGATCCATGGAGTCCAAGAATCAGTTCTTTTGTATCTGTCATCCATGGCTTCTTCCGACTAGCTGCATGTGTTTCATTGCAAGATGCAACGTGGTAGACTCAATTCCTCATAATTCCATCCGAAAGATGTCAACATGGGCATGTTCTGAAACCAAACCCACTGGCTAGTGCTTGGAATGTCCTGCTCCTGCCCCGCATCCAAGTGGTAGGCCGTTCCCCTCCCAGTATCTCCCAGTGGTGTTCATCACCACCGGACCGGTCTGAACGGAGCTCCCATGGTCCGACGTCACGCCGTTCCAGACCACGCCACCATGAAGTCTTTGAGAACAAGATGTAACAAAATTGATAAAGATCAATTTATCAATTTATCAATTTTGTTACCTTAATTTTTGATCATTGAGTTATCAATTGTGTTCAAACCAGATCACATGAGATATGGAGGATGACACCCCCCTGGATGCACCGGCCAGGAACCAACAAGTCTCCGAAACTCGGTCTCAGCATGCCGAGGTCCCCACGCGTGAACGCGTGTTGAAGGCAATGCGTGCGGCCTTGCCGATGGAAAACTCACATGGACATGCCGTCTCAAAAATGAGCACATGATGTAACATGATGTAACATGATACAACTAAACTGACGAAGCGCCAAACCACCCTGCCATGGCGTATATATGGGAAACCAATCCAACCATGTTGCCAGACCCTGAGAGCGACAACATCCATATGTTTAGTAGCGGAAGTGTCCGATTACCAAGTCGTGGTCAAGGGACCTCTTCTTTTAACGTCATAGGGTCTTCCTGTTGATCCGAAAGGCACAGCATACCCCCCAGGCCATCATGGCAGTGGAAGGAATGCCGGAATGCCGTCGCTTGTCCCAGTCTCCCCGCAGACTCCCCCTCGCACGCGGCATCCCCATTTCTGCGCTCAGTCAGCGGAAGCCTTTGAAGCCCTTTCTCTGGTGGGTGCGGATCAATGTAAGAACTCCAGCACTTGGATGCATCAGTTCACGCCAAATGACTCGTCAAGAGTTGGCCAGGTTGGCCAGTTGGCCCCTCCCGCGTCTTTTCTCATCTTTTCTCCCCAAAAAGTCTTCAGAAGGCCACCGCCCCTAGGGATCTTGAGGGTATTGGATTAGGATTTCTGGGGCTTTGCCCCCATCCTGCACTCAAAGACTCGCTGTCTCCTTCGGCTTGACAGCAATTCTCTCTCGTCAGAGACTCCTGCTCGACTCGTTCAGCTCTGACTCTGAAGTCAAGACCTACTGTCCAAGAGAAGTTGGTCCCAAAACCTGTGAATCATTCTAGGCAAACGAGACTGAACATCGTGAATGGGCACAAACACACTCACTTCGCCAACATCGAACCGCCACTACCATCGGTGATCTGCTCAAAGTGTGGAGCACAGCGTTATGCTCTTTTTGCCTACGCTCCTCACACACACCCTTTACCCACCGGGACAGTTATTAAGGTGTTCATTTGATGATCTAAAACTCACATATATAAGCGCAAATGTCGATGAACCTATGAACCTCCCGTTGGCTTCTCTCATATCTCATGACAATCCACCGCAACCCAAAAAAGGCGACGCGCCGGTGTCGGTTCTCCCGTCGAAATCTCCCGTCGTCTTCCTTCGGTCATCGGATGCCGCCCCAGGTGATGATGTTCCCATCTCCTTAGGCCAGCGACTTTCTTCACCCATCATTGCTTTGAGCCTTCAGCTCAGCATCGTTCTCCTTGCTTTGGGCCTTCAGCTCAACATCCTTCTGGAACCATTGTACTTCCCGGAATCGTTGCGTGGATGGCATGGCCCTTTGAATCCCCCGAATTTCTGACAGACACTGGTAACAGGTCCATCCACTTCAACAGCAAAACATGTCGGTAGAACCAGGTCCTTGCAGGCAAGCCACTTGGCAAAAAAAAGATGGGAGGCTCACACGCAATACGACAGCTTGCCGTTACTTTATGTCAGTGACCTTATTAGCACTTAGACAACACCATCCTATATTCTGAATGTTGAGTGTTATGGAATGGATGAATATGGATGAATGTCCATGTTGTAAAGAAACCCATCCAATTGAACCCAGCCAGCAAACTGGAAAATGTTTGCTTCACCGTACTAATACTGTTCGTCCTTCTTACCTTGTTGCATACTCGGTCAGGACCTGTTCAAGAAGCATGTCTGAACTCCTACATCTGAACTCCTACACTCTGACGAACACATCACATGGAAGTGGATGGCATGGCCTCTTGGAAGACCATACCTTCCTCTACTCTACATATAACAGTGGGTGCCATCCACCAAACCCATGTGATCTGTGGGTCTCAGTGTACCTCATCAGTGGCTTCTCCAGCTTCCACCCCCGGGTCCACTGGATCCACACCCGGTCGTCACCGGTCGTCACCGCTTCATCCGCCCACGCGTCGCTTCACGGCGGCGAAGGCGTGGCGCGTGGCGAAGAGCCGGATGACCTGGTGCGGTGTGAGGTGTGAGGTGAAGTGCTTCGAGGTGAAGCGATATGAAGCAACTGGCGATGAGACTGGCCATGGGATAGTGTAGATAGTGTCATACCTAGAAGCACCTTTTGTTGCGTAAAAAAAATCGGCCTCAGTCCGATCGATTTGTCATATATGGTTCATTGTGGTTCCAAGAATTACTATAGCATACTATAGGCACGGGCTGCAGGATTGTTCACCGAGCGAGAAACCCACGCTCATCCACGAAGATGCCTGGCTGCTCAGGGAGGAGCGGCAGTTGCCGGGCTCTCCGCCGTAGGCCTCGGATGAAAGAACACCATGATTCGGAGACTCCAGGGAAATGATGCGTGGGCTGGTGTGTGAAAGAACACAAAATGCTTTCTGAGCCCAAATTATCCGATTTCTTCGCTCTTCTGATCGTCCCACACCGGGATCTCGCAGAACAAAAGAAAACACAACGGGACGCCATCTATAGCCAATCGCCCACCCTCCACGTGTTTCCACCTCCGCCGTCTTACACGTGTGGCCAAGGGGCTGGATGTCCCCAAGTCACAACACTTCCATCATGTTTCAAAGCAGCGAAGGCATACGCCGTGCCACAAACCTCACTGATTCCCACCAGCCTTAGTCGGTCCAAAGGGGTACCAAACCTCTTCGGCGACCTTAGAGATACCGCACAGCCCCCCGAAGAAAAAACAATCCTCAAAAGGCATTTGGAACGACATGTTTTTAGAAACCTCCAAGCCAACCCTACCATTTAGGAAAAAACCTGTTGAACGTCTTAAGACTCTAAGACCTCTTTCGAAGATACCCAGTGGCTCGGCAAAGACTTGGTCACAATCGCCACCATAGTCCTGGATCAGTTCGATCGCTGCAGCGTCCAGTGAGCGGCTCGTGGCAGGGCTGAGGGCGAACAGAATCCAAAGGAACGCCTCTTGAAGAGCTGGGAGCCCAGCTCTTAAGAATTTGAAGATCTGTTGCTGTTTTGCCTGGGGGTTGGTTCTAGAATGTTCTAGATACCATGAATCATGAATCAAATTGAATCAGTACATCGCTTCAATGAACATGATTAAAGAAAACACCGGCGAAACGAACATGGCCTTTGCAACGCCTTTGCCCCAAGCAACGCCACCTGTTCGGTGCAGCCACCGTGCCACCGTGCACGGTAACCGGGTCCTTGTTGCCCCAGCTGCACACCCGGCCCTCACGTCCTGGGCGCCAAAGCAGCTGGAGCCTCCTTTATGTGCATGTTATGTTGTGTTCGGCCACACGGTGAAAAAGATCACTGGCTGCTTTCACCGCTTAATTACAGTACATAATGCAATCTTGCCGCAAAGTCACCACCCCCAAAACAATAACCCTGCCGAAGGCTCGGTCGACTGCAGCAAAGGCGTGCTGCGTACAGAAGATCCTGCCCACCTTCCGCGAAGCCATTGTCATGTCATCATGTCTCCACAGCAAAGCATCCAAAAGGGTCACAACATGGACCTGACAGGATATTGAAGTGATACGTGTCAATTCAAGAGTCAATATGTTAGCCCACTATCAAACAACCAAAATATACCAAAAGTAATGTGTCCACAAGTGAGAGGGAATGGCTAAGTGATCCATCACTCCGGCTCAAACGCAGCGTCCGTCTGGCACCTCGCCACGATCCTCCGGTCGCGCCAGGACATCACCTCGAACGGCGAAGCGTTTAGGTTGAGCCCCAAGGCACCACAGATGGAAAGGTGAGATGGTTTAGTACTGTTTAGTATGACAAACGCCTTCAAAAACTCACATTCACAAGCCTCGCAGATGTGACAGCCACCAATAACTATATGTCCATTATAGAAATATATGTGTATATATATATATTATATGACTATCAGAAGGACTAGCGAACACGGACACCTGCAACACCTGCATCACCTCCAGCCCTGAATGCCTCGCTGCTCCCCACCTCCATCGGACTCGTTTCCCCAGCTGATGACGTTCCCCGTGTCTTTCAGCGCCGCGAAGGCCTCGGCCCACGCCAAACGGCAAGGCGGTCAAACAGGGCGACAGGAAGGTGGCGAAACCAGGGTTTTGGGGTCCTTTGACAATGTTTGATCCAGTTTTGTGTGTGTAAGGAACTCACATAGAGTGGAAGTATAGTAATTAAAGTGGCTCCTTGCAGGTGCAGAAACATTTACAAGCCTACGAAGCAATTGTGTAGTCGTCCCATGGTCAAAACGAGTCAAATAATGCTAAACTATGTTAAACTCAAACGATCTTGGTGTCACAAGGGCTCTCCAGCAAACAAGGCGCTTTGCCACTTTGCCACACCAAGGGATTGGAAGGTGGCAGCTAGTTCATCCGTTTTCCTTGGAGCATCCTGCTGGTTGGGCTTCTGCATTTGGTCCTTCTTGTCTTTTCTTCACTCCATTCCACCCCCCTGGGTCGTCCGTGGGCCTATTCGGGTCACAGCACGATTTGTGGCGTGCCTTCTGTGTGGCATAGAGTGCAATGACCTTCGATCTCAGCTGCGCCTGGCTGTTGGCATTGGAAACAGTCTCCCAGAACCTAGTCAATGAGTCATACCGTCATACCGTCATACCTTACTTGTGGCACTGGGATCTTTCAACATGACAACGACTTTGAGCACAAATTCCTGATGTTGATTACAAAGCCAAAAATGGCCACTGCATCCCTCCATCCATTTGATCCAGCTGCTCCCTGTCTTAAACCATAGGCCACAGCACACGTTGGACCGATGCGCACTGGTCACCTCTCTGCCGTGGCATAACCGCTAAGTTTGCTTGATATGAGTCACCCTCTGACTCACCCGCATGGAAATGGAAAACCACCTAAAACCACCTGTTTGTAGGACAATATAGTCTTCTAAGGGGCCATGCCATCCACTTCCACGTGGTGTGTTCGTCAAGAGTGCACCAAAGAATCCCACTCGGTCGCTCACTCGCTTCCTGCACTGGCCCCGCCCATCGCCGGCCCCACCTTCACCTCCCGCGTGGAGCCGCCACCCTGACCAAAAGAACAGGTTGCTGATTCTCGGGATTTCAGAAATTCTACCGCAACTGTTGACATCCTTTGACCTAT